CCGCCGTTTTTTTTTTCCAATGGCGCCCCTCCGAGTTCTTTTTTTTGAAGTTTGGACATATATATTACAAATGGGGTTTGAGGCCGGGAACCTCACAATTCGACCCGGATGAGTCACTGAGGACGTTCCCTGATTTCGCTAGGCTGGAAACCGGGTCCAGCGTCCCTTGAACTTAAAAATTCACAGAGCTGCTGAGAGAAAACAGAAAAACAACCAGACTAAAGCTATGCTGGAAAATGGGTCCAGCGTCCCTTGTTAATAAAACAACTATGCCAATTAATAATTGGAGAAGACGGCCTTCAATCTGGCAGGAAGACGGGTCCTGCATCCTTAACTTAAGGAGAGAAATGGTGGTTGGAATCGGAACGGGTATCCAGACTGCAAGATGTATGCCGGATCTCGATGCTTCCCCTCCGAGTTTTGCTTGTGGCGACAAAAACTTTCTGCATGCAAGGCTGGGGCCGCGTACTTGCGGTTTAAGACCATAAGATCAACACACCTTCTCGAACAAATGACGTGTGCGAAAGGACCACCGACCTCTTGGCTCGCGGTCGGATGCAAGGGGAACAGGCCAATAGTCGGATGGCTGAATTCCAGTTTGCAGAAACACAGCGGAAGCCAAATAGTCGAAGGCTGTCCAAAAAGCAAAAAAATGTCAGGATGCACCACCGATGGAGAACCAAAGCAGCGAACTCAGTGTCAACGAAGCATACGGTCGCCGCCACCACAAATGCGGACAAAGCTCTTCTCCTCCTTGGGCGCTTAATGCCCAGACTTCGATCGCACACCTACTCAACACTATATTATGACCGACGAAGCCACATGTTGGTGTCAGCAGCAGTAATTGAGATACATGCCGGTGTCGACCATGCAGACCATCGTCATGACCAGGTACGCACCCTTTCTCCCTGTCTATTGATCACGAGCTCTAAACCTTTCAATCCTTCCTACAGAAAGGTTGTGCGTCACAGACTTCGAGCCAGGTAGGTATCCCTCTTTCTCCGCCTCTATTGCTCTCCTACCACTCTCTACGAGAAGCTAAGGATTTTTTTCCATTTTTTAAGATTCGGTTAACCATCATGTTGACTAAACGACTTCTGTAAATGGAATCAGGCTTAGGAGAACGTTTTATGGGAATTTTTCTACGAGACATGAATGGCCAGCCAGCTATGTCCCAAATATCTCCTTCCTATTCCTCACACCTCTCTTTCGCATGCTCACTTACCCGACATTCCGCCTTTACTCCCCTACTCTCTAATCGTCAATGAATCCGATCGACGCTTCGACCAGGTTACCGTAGAATCTGAGTTGGTGCGGACCCAGCGAGAGTCAAAGCTCGAACAGCCGAGTCCTGTTACAGAACGGACACCACGAGGGCGAGTATGACTAACACCAGCGCAAGCAGAATCTTTACCGGTGAAAGTCACGATTAACCTCAGTTCGCTCACAACGCCGATGACGAAGACGCTAAAGGCAAGCGGGCGATTGCAATATTGAAGAGCACAGCCTCGATGGCAGCTGCAGTGGCTTCGCCCCACATGGGAAGATAGATCGCGACGGACAGACACATTGAAGAGGGATCCCGATCTGAGTATGGACTAAGGAGCTGTCAGATGCAAAAGTCCCCGCGCTCGCAAGAGAGAGAGAGAGAGAGAGAGAGAGAGAGAGAGAGAGAGAGAGAGAGAGAGAGAGAGAGAGAGAGA